TTTGGTTTTAATTACTGTAAGTCTGAGGAGGGGCAAGTTCAACTATCTCACTTAAAATTTTCCCTTGGTTGGCTTGGTTCTTTATTGTTTTGGATGAGTTTTATGCAAGTTTCATGTAGAATATCATGGACTAGATGGGTAGCATCTGTTACTTTCCTAAGCTTGAGGATCTTTGTTTCTCTCTGTGTCAATGTCTATGTCTTTGTCTGTCTGTCCCTCTCTCTCTCTCTCTCCTCTCCACATACAGAGATTGTAAATAATATAAACCACTAAGGTAGTTTTTGCTTGGAACAATTACACATAACTCTATATATGAATCATAAAACATTTTATAATACTATGAAACATAAGCTGCTTTTGTAAAGAATTTTTCAAGATGTCTCTTGCCTTCTGATCTGGTGATACTACTTTGAACACTGAACAGAACCAAGCCTGCAAAAAGGGCTGTTTCAATATTAGCAGAGGCATGTTTATTTCCCAAGTACAGGGCTTCCTGATAAAGTTATTTTACAGAGAATGTCTTAGTGCAAAAGCCAAAATAGTACTTCAGATGTCCACACTATCTGCCAAAAAAAAAAAAAAAAAAAAAAAAAAAAAAACCACTATGATTTAAGAATAAACTGAAAACGACATTCTTCAGAAACACATTAAACATTAGCAAGCTTTTCTATGTGTTTTTCTGAATGGCAAGAGGAAGCCAAGGAGCCTGAATGTCTTATGTTGTGACGGCTTGAACCAGTGAAAACTGTTCAAAGCTCTAGAGCTTCTGTCTCTGTCAAGTTTGCTTTTATTCACCGTGGCCTATCCCCCCCCCCGCCCCTTCTAATGTGGGTGTGCACGGGTGGATAGCTTACATTGGTACCACCTTTTCCTTGGTTGACTCCTACTTCCTCTTTGTTAGACTTACGCTTTTACTAGCGGACTGAGAAACAATGGGGTCAACTTTAAATATATACTTGTATTTGTGCTTTGAAGAGCTCAAACCTGAATGCAATGTACTTTATGACATCCCCCCCCCGTATCCACTTCCAAATCTATAACCCCCCCAAATAACTCCTCCCAACTTCCTGCCCTCTTTATTTTTAAAATTAAGTTAAATTAAATACTTTTAATGTATTTTAATTATAGTATAATTACATCACTTTCCCGCTTTCTACCGGCTCCATGTATCCCTCTCACTTTTAAATCGATAGCCTCTTTTTCTTAGGTCATTATTGTTACATGCGTATGTACACGTGGAAAAAAATGTAAATGCAATAAGCTGAGTGGATGTTTATTGTTAATGCGCGTATGATTTCAGGGCTGACCGCTTGTATCGGATAATTAATTATGGATCTCAACCCTGGGAGAGGGTATTTCTACTTCTCTCGGTAGTCATTAGTTGACTGTTGTTCATCGTTTGCAGATCGGTCATTTTGAGCTTTCTCTTTGCATGTTAGCGTGTCTTGATCTCGTCATCGTTGAAGTCTGCTTTAATCAGCCATTTTTCAGAGACACAGTCTCAGGTCAGAATTCCTGATCACGTAACAATCTTTTCTTTCCCTCCGCCACAATGTTCCCGGAGCTGCAATAGTTATGTTGTAGACTGATCCATTGGGCCTGGAGCCCCAGCGATCTGTTGATCTCCACATTGTGTCTGGTTGGGAACTTCTGTAATGGTAAGGAGTGAGAGCTACAGTTACCTGTGAGTATAAGAATACATTTCAGTGTATAGTTAAGACTTATGCTGGTCTCTTAAAGGGGAGGTAGTGGGTTCTCATTTGAAGATCTCACTTCTGCCAGGTAGTTGAGTTGGCTAGCTTTCTCGCGTCAGGCCTGAGTTTGCCATTGTTGAATGGGCCTACAGTACAACAGTTGGTTACTGACAAGATTAGGAATGCCACGATTCCACTTTTCTGTGTCTTTACCATGCTGGTCAGTGTTGTTGTTCATAGTCTTCACAGCCGGATATCTATTGCTTCCTTCCCTTCCCTTTGCAGAGATGAGATTTCCTGACTTTGGAGGCTAGACTGTAGGAAGGAGGCTGTCAGGTTAGATCCAGCTCACATCATGTGAGCCCTGTGACCTAAGTTGTGGATGTCAGGAAGTCATATTTAGCTGTTACTGCACTTGGGCTGGATTTCATTTAGCAGGCCTCCTCACTGAAGTTGAAAACCGCCCAACAGGGAACTTGGAAATGTTTCTGCTCATGAAGTTCCCAAAGTGTGATAGCCTTTAGAGCCTCAGGCAGGACTTGTATAAATTCTTGGTTTTATTATCTTTTGACTTTCCAGTGTTAGTAGTCTCTCTCCTCATCTTGACCTGGAATTCTTTTGTGGCTCCATTACCAGTGATGAGGCAGAGTCAGGTAACCTAGCCTTTCTCATTTGGGTCAGGGCCCTTTATCAAAGCATATTTCTTTGAAATCATAAAAGGATTTTATCATTTCCCCTTCTCTTTTCTCTCCAAACCCCTCTCATGTACACATATGCCTTGCTCTCTCTCAAAATCATGATCTCCTTTACAATTGTGCTCACATTTATACACATAAATGTATATGTGCATGCACATGTATGTATATCTCCAAATATATAGCTATAACCTGTTCAGTTCCTGGAATGTTACTTGCATGCATACGGTTTCAGGGCTGACTGCTTGGTATTGGATGACTGTTTGGGAGGCTTCTCCCTGGGGAAGACTTCCTCCTGCTCTCAGTAGCCCCCTGTTGGCCATAGTTCTTTGTCTAGGGTTGAGGCCCCTTGCTAGCATGTCCAATGTGTCATTGTTGTTTGGGCCTTGTTAAGGTAGTCATTTAATGTGTAGCTTCTGTCACAGCAAACTTCCTGTTCCTCCTGCTCTTACAATATTTCCTCTTCCGCAATGACCCCTGAGCTTTCTGTGCAGGGGTTGTGTTGCAGAGGTATCAGTTGGAGGCAGGCACCATATAATCTCTTGTTCTCTGTGTTTCGATCAGCTGTGGTCTCTGTAAGGGTCTCCATCTGTTCCAAAGGGAAGTTTCTTTGATGTAAGGTGAGACCGACACTTACCTGTGCATAGGGATAGTGTTTAGAACACAGTTAGATATTGTGGGGGCTTGCTGAAGTGGTTTGTCTTCAAGATACATGATTTCACTAGCCCTGGGTCATTAATTCACTGTATTTCCTACTTGGCAGTATCCACAATGTTGGCGGTAAATAGTGCTATGTAGCTAAAAGTCACCGGGTCAACTGCGGTCTCATTTAATCTGTAAGATATTGCAGTGGTTCTCGATTTTACCCTGCCAGTTGGCATTTTCTCTGTCGCTGCCTGTTGATTGTACAGGGATAGCTTGGAACACAGGCTGGTCTGTGAGTCATCTGTTGCTCTTTGTGTTTGCCTGTTCAGGTTTATTCCCTTTGTGTGGTTATTCTGTTGTCAATATTTTAAAAAGAAAGACAAATCCCAGTTGTTAAATGCAGTATGTTTAACAAGAAGATGCTGCCCATCTTGCCAATGCACGTTCCTATAAATATCTACAAATATGTGTGCATTTAACACATTTAGTATCATATATTCCTACACTGCAAAAGGTAGACACCACGAAAATATTTACTAGACACATACTGTGTAGCCAACAGGTGCCAGAATGGGAAACAATACAGAAAGAAACAGCATTCCTACCCTCAGGGAGCTCTCCATATAATGGTAGTTGGTGACAGCCTTATCTGTCACTTTATTAATATCCCTAAGTGACTCGCATATGTCTTTCTTTTTCAGACTGTTAGCTTTACATCAGCTACTTCTTCATGCCCTTGCTTGGTGATTATAGCAAATTTCAATGTTCTTTTAGGGTCAGGAAATTATGTCTTTGATCTTGTAAGGATGACATATATGTCTTTTAGAGCATCATATATTTCTGGATGGTGAGAAATTAATTTTTTCACTGGTCACTTCATTGTAAGGAAGCCATAAATGAATAAAGCACAGGTTGAGCTTGACACATTTAAAGAGACCTTGAGGTAAAAGAAGAAGCCTTAAATCTACTGAGGATGGTTCTTAGAATAATTTAGGAGTCCGTATGGGTGTTTTGTATCCTTGAAAACTCTTTGAATGGCATCTCTCTGTACACTGGGTTATGTTTAACTTTCCCTTACTCAGCTGCTTGTCAAGAGTCCAAGAATTGTTTCATTCCAGAATTAAGAAGTATGGAGTTCCTTCCCACTCTGATTTTATACATCTTTGCCTCTGCATGACATTGGGAAAGAAGATGTCTTTTCAAAAACACAGGTTCTTTATCCATCAAAGTTCACAAGAGATGTTGAACTGCACTCTTCTAGCTTTGTCCTTTGGAATAGACTTTAGTGTCTTGCAGATGGTGAGATGTCATAAAGAAGACAAAGAAGTTATAATTTCACTCCATAACGTCTCAAAGATAGCTCAAGACACAAAAGTGCACAGGGGCCAGCTCTCTCCACTGCTGCTCACGTGGAGAAGCAGGACTATAAGGGAATCTTACAGGACTGCTAACCAGATTTTACCTGAAGTATAAAATGCAATCACTAGTTCAATAATAATGCCAGCTCTTCCATTCGTGTAACTCATGTGGTGAAGTCTGCTTAAAGAAATTAGAGTTTTTAAAGATACACTTTTATTTCCATGCAGGTAATTTTACTGTGAGCATAAATATTATACTAGTACAAAGTCCTTGTGTTAATCTTGAATGTTATCGCATCAGTGTCTCTGAGGGGCTGATTAAATTGTAAAATATGTACTTTCCTAGGGAAAATGACTGAGATAATCATCTTATAATTGCAACTTCATTCCTGGTGTGCCCCTTTGTGTGAGAAAAAAAAAACAAAAACAAAAAAAGGTACGAAGATAATGATGCTGATTCTAATGAGGGGGTAGAACTGGCCTCATGGGATTTATCTAACGGTAGCCCATCTTTACTTTTAGAGCATGCCCTTACTTGCAGAGCTCGTCCTGTTCAACACGTGCTGAATCTTTACTTATTCTTAACTTTCTCTGTCTTGAACATATAGGGCTGCGATCTTATTTCAACTCCTGACCAAGACCACACCGATTTTACCAAGTGTCTTAAAGTGCTCCAAAGGAAGATAAAAGAGAAAGAGATGCAGGTAAGATTTGTGCCTGCTAGAAAGGAAGGTCTGGTAAGCAAAATGCAAAAGAGCATGTGTAGTTATTTACTTCTGTGTTCTTATTTTTGAATTTCTACTCGTTTCTTCTTTTGTTGTTTTACATAAATCTGGACTGAGCTGGAAATATGTTAATGAATTTGCATAGATATAAAAGGTCACAAACACTTAGAGGTATAAACAGGTAAACTGGACCACGTGTAAAGTAATCCAAACAGACCTTTTTGCAAGCTTAAAGTGATCAACAAGTCATCATTTCTCACACGCTGTTGCCAGGTAATGCTACCGGTGTCTTTGTAGCATTTCTGTTCAAGTGTTGTGTGTTGTGTATGGAAAGTGGATATGGCCTCGGTTTGGCCCATGAGCCAACGTTGTAAAATTTATGTAAAGAGATTAAAATACTGCTCTCATTTCTAGCTAGAGAATGCATCCACTGATTTGCATTTGTGCATTATTTAATGATTTCCATCCATCACCCAAACGTTCAGTTAAATTAATTAGTTCGCGGCCTATATTTCTTACACCTTCATAACCTGTTGAGGTGTTAATGAAATTTGTTTTAGGTCCCTCTCTAAATGAACATGTAGAAAATCGTATCTGAATGATGAGTGTTTATTGTTGGGTCTGGCAAGGGCAGTAACTTAAGCCGATATGTATTATCAGTTTTATAATTTTGCACCAAGGAAACACCCTTGTATGTTAGAATGCAAATGCATGCCAGCGTGACGTCATTATTCTAGCATGGGAGGGAAGCCTGAAGGCATACACCAGGCAGGTCCTTACTCTGCTTGACTCATATTCACGCACTGTGTGGCTTTGTCCTCACGAGGCCTCCTTGATGACACAGCTTGCCGCCAGCACCTTTTTTCCCTTTGGCAACAGGGAGATGAATTTGTGAAGGATTCCTCGTCCCTTCTCGCCATCGGCCGACTTCACTCCCAGGGTCTCTCTATCACACCACTCATGGGTTGTCAAAAGAGGATGAGGGTCCACTGCCTGCTGTCGAGAATGAGGAGTGAGTGGGCTTGATCCTCGGATCATTTATTCACTGTATCCGTCTGGCAGAAGGCATGATTGTGGGAGCAGCAACTCTAATAAGAACGTATTCCTTAGCAGAGAGGCCCCTCAGATTTACCCCAGCATATATGTTCTGAGTTAAGGGAATAAATCCTTTTCTCTTTTTGAAGAAAAACCTTGTTAACGGTCATAATTGGCAAGCAGTTCAATGTACAGACACAACAAAAGTGATCCGGTGAACTATACTGAATATGCTGTGCTATTTCCAGCAGTAAATTGCTATAATTTAGTTTTGTTTAGTAAAAGAAAGGAAGAAAACAACCAATTGAGAATTACCTACTTCAACCACATATAGCTGATTTGGGGCTTATTAAGAAAAAAATTGTCTTTGCAACCATGTCTGTGTGTTTCAAGCACTTCTGAAAAAATTATTTTAAAATGGAAATGTAATTACATGACTCCCATTTTTGTATAATTGATAGTATCTATAATATAGTGTTTAGTCATCTTGCCTCAAAAAAAAAAAACCCCAAACAATCATATCTCAGTTTAACAAGATTCTCCACATACAGAAAACTCCCACACTAAGTTAAAAGAAATAGTTAAAAAAAAAAGACATATAAAAGTGTAAAAATAAACTATACTATTAAGAACCATTAATATTATTAAATGTTATTATTAAGTCCAATCAGTGAGGAGTTTTGAGGGGTACAAGCTAAAAGACTAGCTGTATGCATGTATGCACGCATAGCAATGACCTTGTCTTCCAGCTGTGCTGGTCCTAGAGCAGTTGCTGCTGCTGCTGCTGCTGCTGCTGCTGAAGAATGTGGATTTGCAGGGATCAGCTTGGCCTTTCTGTGCTGTGTGCCACAGGGATCATAGCTGGGTGGTAGCGTGCATGATCTTTTGCGTGAAGGAAATTGCAGTCCTACCTGCCCTAGTGGCCACAACCTTCTGGAATGTTCCACACTTGCATCTTCAGTCCTATATTTAATGGGTGTTTCTTATAGCTCCTGAAATCTATTGTATTCCCTCCTCTTCTGTCCCCAGGCAATTCTGCATGTTTGTCCTTTTACTGGAAATCCAGTTTTGTTTTGTTTTCCTCGGCTAAACCATCCTTGACTGATTTGCCAGGCTTTCCTTAGTGGTCATGTAGGTTAGGGTCTTTAGGGTCTGCTCCTCCCCATTTCCTTATAGCCCATTATTTCTTCTTTAGAGCATGCTGAACATTTTGAAGCAATTTGTTAATTATTTTTCAACTATTTGCACTAAGTTTTTCTTCACGGCTTTTCTCTCCGTCCCAAGAAGCTGGGGTCAGGTGCAGGTTCTAGAGACTTAATGGGAGTACTTTGCAGAAAGAGAAGCTCTGAGTATTTGGAGAGTTTGATGTTTTGTGAACATAAAGAAGAGTACAATTACAGGAAGGCGTTTCAGGGAGGCTGTGACTAGCTAACAGGAGCTGAGTAGCAAAAGAGAAAAAAGCATGTTTAAAATCTGCACTGTGCAGCAGGGACAGATTGCTTGGTAAAAGCAGGAAAACACCATATCTATTCTTCAGGGTCCCAGATAGGCCTGAGAATTAAATTAACATGAGATGGATCAATAACAGAAAAGCATACACATTTATTTAATACCAATTTCGCATAACATGGGAATCATTGAAGAGATACAGAACCCCAAAGTAGCACTTAGAATTAGTTAAGTAAGGGACTAGTCAAAGAATATTTTTATTGAAAATAGGTTTTTTTTTTCATACAATATATTCTGATTAAGGTTTCTCCTCCTACTCTACCCAATTCCTCTTCACGTCCCCTTCTATCTGGATCTACACCGTTCTGTCTCTCATTAGAAAAACACACATACATCTACAGAATCATAATAAAATGAAATGCAATAAGGTAAACCAAAACTAACAAGCCAGAATATGGCAAAGCAGCCAGACTAGAAAAGGAGCCAAAGAAAGAGCAGAAGAAACACACACATCCACAGAAACACAGACGTTCACACACACACACGGGGATTCCCCTTAAAAGCATAAAACTGGAAGTCTTCGTACAGATACAAAGGACCTGTAAGAAAAAAACCACTCCGACAACATTATGAGAAAAAGATGAGTTCCTTTTGCCTTGTGCATGGAGCCTAGCAAAAGAGTAGTTTGTTTCCCCAGTGAGGTGTCCCTGCGGAAAACAGATTTTCCATTTGCAGGTGGCTGCTGTAATTGGAGACAGCTCCTGGCTGGGAATGGCGGTGTGCCCATTTCTGCTTGCAGCTCCAGACCCCAGTCTGGACCAGACTCACGCAGTCCCTGTGCACGCTGCCGCGGTCTCCGAGTTCATATCTGCTTTGATCATGCTGAGTCAGAGGGCCCTGTTTTCTTGGTACCCTCCATCCCTTCTGACTGTGACTCTTTTTCTGCCTGCTCTTCACAGAGTTCCCTGAGCCCCAAGGGGAGGGATTTGAGGGAGACATCCTTTTTAGGGTTGAGTCTTCCAAGGTGTCCCCCTTCATGATGTTTGGCTTTAGATCTCTGTTTGTTCCCATGAGCTATGGAAGGAGTCTCTGGTGATGAGTGAGCAAGGCATGGATCTGCTATCTTCCCCAGGGAATGAACAAAATCATCATCATCATCACCGGGCACATAGGCATATTTTATTATTGCTTTGCCAGCACCATGCAGAGTTCTCTTAGTCTTCTCACTTTGAGGATAAGCTGTTGCCTCTTCCACACAGGGATTAAATTCTGCTTTTAAGAAAAATCATGACATCCAGAGACATCTTTTTGTACCTACTTTTTGACGTATTTGTAAATATTCAGCATAAGAGGTGGTATGTGTATATGTTGGGGTGGCTTATGCTGAGTGCCTTGGCTTCAGTGAGCCAGTAGAAGACAGGTTGAGAAGTTCATGATGGAGGAGATGATTATTTTAATACTTTTTTAATAATACACTTAGAGACTGAGGCAATAGATCAGATGGATACACAAGCATAGGGACCTAAATAAGATGCCCAGTATGATGTACAAGTAAGGTATGTTGGTGTGTGTCTATAATCTTGGGGATCATAGGCATTATGTCATAATTCTCAGCATTAATCCTTAGCACCGAGGTCAGACAGCCTAGCTGAATAGTGAGCTCCAGTTCAGGGAAAAACTCTTATTACAGAAAATAAGGTGATCGGGGAAAACATCCAATGTTAACTTCTTGTGTGCACGCGCACGCACACACACACACACACACACACACACACACACACACACACGCACAGCATGGTTATACAAACTGAGGACTCTGTTGTTCATGATGGAAACTTGTTGAGGCCGCTGCCATTCGGGATTAAAAGCACGGTGACGGTAGTGTGCACTTACACTGTGTGTACTTTCAGTTACTTGTAGCCAAGGGCAGTCTAAAAATATTGAACCGAGAACTGCAGGAATCGGTAACCCATGGGTTTTCACGTGTTGCACCCTTGTGGCTAGCTGCATGAAACACCATTTTGTCCATCCTCCTCTGGGAAACTGGACTTATCCCTCTCTGTCCAGGTTTCCATGTTGTGTCTGCTGCTGCTTTCTGTTTAGTCATTTCTTCGCTGTGTTTTGTACTGGATTGAAGCACCCAGGACCACAGTTCTGTTTGAGTGGTCCCGTCTGTCATCGCAGGCCTTATCACAAAGCCTCCATCATTCCCTTCCCTCCATCTCATCGCACAGACATTATCTCACACTGCCGTACGAAGGAAAAGGGTTGGGTCTGTTCAACAATGTGCTTTGAGGCAGAAAGCACACTCACACAACCTTCCCTCTGGCATATTGCTGTGGGTGCCCTATTTCATTATTGGTTACTGTTATATCACCATGTATTAAACTTGAGGGAATACAGTTTCTATGAGTTTCTATTGGAATTTTTTTAAATAGATGTACAGCATGATTTGGTGCTTTGTTTTTGGTTTTTTTGATAAAATAGCAAGAGGT